TCCGGGGAAACCATGAATACATAAACAGTTTCAGTTCTGTGTGGTACTTCTATAGAACTGTCAGCCCCCAAGGCTATAAAACCTTACTTCATCTTACCAGAATAGCAAATAATGACCACAATTGACTCATGGGCACATGTAAGATCCCTGAGGATTCTAGCAAATTTCTAGAAATAGGGGCACTGTTAAAAATTAGGCCTCTTAATATAGTTGAGCAAGTGGAATTGAGGACTATTGAGTTTTAGGTATTAATATCAGTGGGGCTTCGATTGTACCCATTGTCTGAAAATAGACACTAGGTTCTGGAGTAAAAACAGTAATTTGCCTTTGCCTCTTTGGTCTCCTACTTAGCTATTTTCAACCCGTAAAATAAGATTTTTATGAAACATTATCTGCCAGTTGGAAATGAATAATAATAATTGCCTCTTTTTTATTCAGATCTTTTTCTTTCATATAAGTCTGTGCTAACCCAAGATTCAGACATTCAGCTTTTAAAGCTTTACAGGTAATCCAGAGGCAATAATGCTACTGGGCTGCTGAGTGTCCATCTACCAGAAAAATCTTACATAATGGGAAACATGGACAGTCATTACTACAAACCATAGACCCATTAACCTTGGTCTTCAGGAGCCTGGAAAATTCAAGAGGCAAAGTAAAGAGTCTGAGGGAACAAGTTCCAAAGGAACTTGGGATTTGTCATTTTGTATATACGCTGGATGCCTTCTGTTAGCTCTTCCAGCTCCCCTCTCTGCCCTTCTCCCTTACTTTGTGACTCGGTGGCTACATCAATGGTTTCTCTCCCCTTGTAGCTTCTGGTGACATTAAGAGCACAAGCAGGAGAGGGAGGTGGGAAGAGAGGTGAAGTTGTTTAGTCTGCTGATTCGCCTTTCTGCTGAGAGGCAGTGGTCTGGCTGTGATGTTCGTTTGAAATGCGTAGAAAATGAATACATGTTCATTGTTACTTGTTGCATGAGGGTAGTTAGTGGGTGGAGGACAAGGTTGGAATAGAGGTTTATCATTGCTTATTCTCTGGAGCCATAAGACCATAAGAACTAATTTTTTAACTGTAAAACTTAGATTTAAAAAAGGAAAAGAAGTAGGAGAAGCAGCAGGAGTGACTGTGGCTAAAGGCAGAGAAATACTTTATTAGCAAGGAGAGCAGCAATGGCTCCCACCGCTGCAGGAGCAGGAGGGCCCAGCTATTAGAAGCACATCCACATCCCATTTGGTGAGCACAGCAATGACAACTAGGTCAGCAAGACCTGACCTAGACCCCAGGAATCAGTGGAAACACTTCCAGGCAGGCCCAGGGCCACAGCACTATAAGCATAAGGGCACAATGTCCCAAGCTAGAGGAAATGAGTATGAACATTGAGTGCATTTCACCCATTTTGGGAGTGAACAAAGCTGCTCTGATTGATGATTTAGAAAAAGCAGACAATCTAGAGCTGGTCAGTTCCAAATCATGGTGCACATGAATGGACAAACTTCCAGGAGCAAGATTTTCCAAATCTGGTTCTCACTGGTCCCTTCCACCATGCTTAACCCACGCTCTGCTTAGGCAGGGTGAAGATGCACATAATCCAGATCATGCTGGAAACATCTTAAATGCTCTCAAGGAATTGGTGTTATGAAATGGCTCTGAGCTAGACAGGAAGGAATGGGTAGGCGGTAATAATTCATAATCCTTTCCACCCAGACACTTGAGTTACTAATCATTTCCCTGTCTCAACCTGTTTTGATGTTAGGATATCTGTTGCTTCAGATGTTAAGTTCCTCAGAGAGCCAAGTGAGCCGTGCCCAGGTGTTCCTGAGCCAGAGGCCAAAATGTCCTTGGTGGCCTCTAGTTTTCCCTAGCACCGTGGCTTCCAGAAAGCCCTGGCTCTGTGAAGGTGTGGTGCAGGGGCTTGTTCCTGTATTTGCATGGCCTATCTTGCTCCATCTACAGCCTCTTGAGCAACGAGTGCTTTGTGCTAATTCTTATGGTCACATTGCTCTCTTGCTTGTTGTACCTGCCTGTGCTAAATAGGAGGCAAATTGCAGTCATTAGTAGAGCCTGGAACAACAGGGACTCACTCACTGGTGACCTAAAGAAGAGATCAACAAGAAAGTAAAAAACATAATTTTCCCCCTAACTTAGAAAGTATAAAAGATAAATTTTTTTAAGAGAAGGTCAGTTGTTTTAAATCTCATACAAGTATTTCAGTTAAATGGGGACAATTGTCCATTGTTCACAGGGAAAAACAAAGTACTTGACACAAGGACAAACTTTTGAGCACACTTCACACTGTCTTGTTCTTTAACTTTGACATGACGGTGTTATTAGAAACATCGTGCCCGTAGTAAAGGTCTTTTCTAGAACAGTTTTGAACTGTTATTAATCAAACCTTACCAATTTTTTTGTAAACACTCAAAATTTCTGCTTTTTTAAGTGAAAGAAAACTGCAGCAGAGTTCTAGTATCAGACCAAAGCACAGTGCTGCATTTGACATAAGTAGCAAATATCGTGCTTCCTTCACAGAACTGGTTGGATTAGTTACACGAGTGCCAAATGACAGGTTGACAGTTTAGCAAATTGTCTGCCTGGTCCATATAGAAAGCACTGAAATTTCTGGTTTCCACAGAATACTTTGCAGTGTTAGAGAGCAGTTGGATGGCATTTCTGGTCTGTTATTCAAGGTTGCTAAGGGGCGTAGCCTACATTCGGAAGAAACAGGCCTCTAACATATCACATACACCTAAACTTTCCTTTATAGAGACTGCGTATGTGTCTAGTTAAATTCATTAAATATTTCAACAACAGAAGGAAAAAAGACGTAGAAGTGCTTAAAACAGAACTTAAGGATCCAGAAATGAGGGGGGACCCAAAACACCTGGAATGTATTTATAAAAAATTGTGCTTTTAATTCTCTCATGTTAGAACTTCAGTCATGTCACCTTCAAAGTACTCTCCTTTAGATGCAATGCACCTAACAAGATGTGTTTTCCACTGCTCAAACACAGTTTTTGAACTCATCAATTTTGATGCCTTTTAGTGCTTCTGTCATTTTTTGTTTCAGTTCTTCCACATCGGCAAAATGTTTCTCTTTGAGAACTTTTTTCATTCAAGCAAACAAAAAAGTCTCTCAGGGTGACATCACATGAATAAGGAGGGTAGGAAACAGGGGTCATGCCATTTTGGTCAGAAACTGCTGAATGCGCAGCTCAGTGCAGGCAGGTGTGCTGGTAAATCACCCATCATGAAATGGGCAAATGCACTGAGTCTTCAAAAAAACTTCACTGAAGCTGAACCCAGCCTCTCACAAGAACACCAGCTGGTACACTGATGTGGTTGGGTTCCTAGAGCACTCACCTAGCGGGGGAAGCCTTTACTACAAAGGGTTTGCCCTCCAGAAGGTAATTCTGTTTTTTCGTGGGGTCCCCCATTGTAAGTTAGAGAACAGCAGCAGAATGAATTATAGACACAGGAGAAATGTTATTTAGTTTCACGTGTAAATACAGCTCATCAACTGTGCATCCGTGTGTGTGTGTGTGTGTGTGTGTGTGTGTGTGTGTGTGAAGAGGCCTGTGCTCTTGAGGAAAGGCAAAGTTATCACCTGATTTCCCAGGGGCTGTTTGCATAATTTCTCAGGACCTTGGGGCAGTGGTTGAGATGACCACTACAGGACAATTGAACAATTTAGAAGAAAGAATGCATATCTTACTGTTAGGGGAAATGCTTAGGAAGTGAGGTAGTATGAATTTAGAATGGCTGGGTTGGTGGCCTAAGGAATTTAGAGTCAAGAGTCAGAACAAAAGATGTAGATACATCCACTGTCAAGCTGATCTCTGAGACAGGGAAAAGCATCTCTCCACAGAGTGAGATGGGGGAGACTTCTGGGAATTGAAAGGTTCTCACAGTGGGTGGAACTCTTTAGGTTTGCATTTCTGGGAAAGGCAGGACAAGAGCTCAGAGCCCTAATTTAGAGATCTGTGAGATGATTTCAGCAAGAGGAAGTGGTTGGAAAATAAAGAGGGGCCATGAACAAAAGATGGATGACCAGCTGCCAGGTGCCCTCCTGGGGGCATTCATTTTCCCTGGCAGTGTGACTAGAAAGAGTGAATCCAAAGCACCATTTGTGAGGTACTGTCTCCTCTACCTGGAACATAATAAAAAAAAAAACTTCCCTCTTCCTATGAGGCAAGGTAGAGGGTCTGGTCAAGAATGGACTACACAACTAAGGGTCATTTTTCCCTTTGGTGGTTGGGAAATTAGATTAAAAGATGGTTGCTGGGTAACAGTTTTCCTGGCTTTGTTAATTATGCGCTTGATAACCTCAAGGGATGAGGCAATATCTCCTTACTCTTCCATACTCCGCCTCCACTGCTGGACAGAGAGCGGCTTGTTTACCGCCTGCTGTAAAATTAGGGGCCCCCCAAGCTCAGTGTTCCTCAGTGGTGAACTGCATGTGCAGACGTCCTTTAGGACCTTCTGTGTCGTCCCCATAACACTTGAGGACAAGGGGAACCAACACAAACATGCTGATGTTCATGGTGTGTATGGTGTCACGGGTTATAAAATTCTTTGTCTCCAACCCAAGAGTCTTGAATATTCTGCCAACCTCCATAAAATGATAAGTGGCAAATTTATTTGGTGGTAGGTAAGGTAAAATCAAATCCCTGATCTAGCATATGTTACTATATCTATTTCAGTATACGTTCTAAGAGATAAGAACTCTTCAAAAAAAAAAACTGAGGTAAGTTGGATGAGTTCTAAAGAACTACTACTGTACAACATTGTTCCTATGGTTAATGGTACTTTATCATGCACTTAAAAACTTAGTAAGGAGTAAAGATTTCATGTTAAAGTCCTTACCAAAAAAACCCTCCAAAATACTATTACCACATTTTTAAACAGACAATAATTCTTTAGTAGCATTGGATATTTCCAATTGTGTTCAAATTTCTCCAACTGTTTTTTTTACAGGAAATTCAATAGGCATTCAAATGTTTACATTGGCTGACTTGAATATTTGAACATTTTTTATTGTAGTAAATATCTATTTACATATATATCATACATTTTGTGATTTTAACCATTATTAAGTGCACAGTTCAGTGGCATTAGTTATATTCACAATGCTGTGCAACTATCACTACTACCTATTTCCAAGACTTTGACATCAGGGTCGTTTGCATCTTTAGTATGTTTTAATCTTTGGTTTTCCTTTTCCCTTTCTCTGTTTTTCCTTGTGACTTATTTGTGGAAAAATATCAGGTCATTTCTACTATACAGTTTCCCACAGATTGGATTTTACTATTTTTATAACTGTTTCATGGACTTTCATCGGGAGGCAGATGATTCTGATTGTTTCTCTTTTGGTGATGTCAGCAACTATTTATGATCAGTCTCTAAATTCTTTATTTTTTAGAGGTGCCAAATGGTGATATTTGAATTCTAGTATTGCTTTTTAACAATTACTTCCACGGAGGAAACAGTTGCATAGTGTTCCATTATATGTATTTATTCTATCTATCCTAAGAAGACCCTATTTAGCAAAAACACAGTTTTATTTATTGTGGTTGGTTTTTAAACATAAGAGAAGTTTTTGTTGTTGCTGCTGTTTAATTCTCACAAAGGGCACAGAGTAGGCTCAACACTAAAGTAGCATTTGCAGAAAAGTTAAAAACTACTTCTATAGGCGTAAAATGTTCACCTCTAAAATCAGTTCTGTTACTAAATTGGATCTTTTGTTAAAAGATATCCTAGAGTTCTCCGCAAAAAAAGCAATCTTAGTATGAACAAGCAGTTTGTCTCCTTTTCTTCTAAAGAAGAGTGGTGAGAGCAGAGGAGGGCCTCAGTTACATGTGTCCTCAGGTTCTTTTTTTATGCATGGATCTAAAATTAATCACAGTACATGCCAGGATGGCATATCAGCATATTTTCTTAGAGCAACATTGAGACACATCTGTTCAAGTGAATCAGCTACCAGCTCAATTGGCTCACTTAGCAGAGGTAAGAAATTCAAAAACCATCATATGGATTAAACCTCGTGATTTCTTTGCCTCTAAAAATATTAATGAAGCTTCTCTTTTTACCCACACCATAGCATCTGCTAACTTACATTTGGCATCCTGTGAAACTGCTGTATGCTGGGAATTATAGCAGTTGGAAGGCCATGTGACAAAACTCAAAATTTTAAAATTTGAAGGGATTCTACCTGTGTGTGTGCACACGTGTGTGTCTCCAGCTCTCTGGAGCTAGCAAGTCATATGAATATTTGATAGTACAATGTCAACAATCCTGTTGTTTTCATATGCAAAATAAAAGAAAGAAAAGCTCATCCAATTAGAATAATTTGTGGGGGAATGACTTCAAAAGCCCACTCTCTGCAGAAGTCCACTTTCTTCCAAATGAAAAAATGAACATGCATAGCGTACTATGTGTGTTTATTGATGCAATGTGTTTGGTTTAGTTATTTACTGCTGTGAAACAAATTACCCCACAACTTAGGGGTTGAAAACAGCACATTTATTGTTTCGCAGCTTTTATGCGTCAGGCATCCAGGAGCATCTTAGCTGGAGGCCTCTGGCTCAGGGTTGCCATTCAAGCTGTGGACAGGAGCTATGCAGTTATCTCGAGGCTTGACTCCTTCTAGTTCCCTCCTGCGGTTTTTGGCAGCCCTCAGAAGATCCGTTTCCAAGTCCATCACATGGGCCTCTCTACCGGGCTGTCTGTCTAGAGGCTTCTTCAAGGGCAGGGATTGCAAAGAGAGTGGGAGAGAGCCCCCCAGACAGAAGCCGCAGAGTGACGTCCCATCATGCCTTTCATATTTCCTTCCTTAGGAAAAAGTCCAACCCACTAAAAAAGGGAGGGATTCCATCAGGGCAGGAATGTTAGAAAGCAGAGATCACTGGGGGCTGTCTTAGAGGCTGCTTGCTACAGTTTCTTTAAGTTTACATTAAAAAAGAGACAACACATTCCTATGGTTAGAAATTCAAAATGGGTAAGAGGGTGTGTAGTATGTCTCCCTCACACCCCTGGCACCCATCCCCCCATTTCCCAGTCCCCCGCCCTCCAGCAAACTTGTTATCAGTGTCACGGGTACTCTTCGGAGGCTCTGCTGGGTGGGAACTCCACCGCTGCTCGCTGCTGCAGAAAGCCACTTTAGTCTTCTCCCCCGCAGCTTGCCAATTCAAACCTGTTTTGTAGAGATAACTCGACTCCACCCCTCGGGTGAAATCTGAGGTGGGTATTATGACTTTTCAGGTCCCTCTCAGATAATGAGAAGCCTGCCAGTTATTTTTAGTCATAACAGAGTGTCATGTCAGACAGAAAGAAAATGCTGACTAATAAGACTTGAAGTTTAAAATGTCTGCCCCTTCCTACCTTCAGGCAGATGCTTTAGGCCTGGAAGGCTGCACTGGGGAAGGGAGGGGGTCTCGTGGTCAGCTTCTCTGGTTCTGTTTTTTGTGCTCCACTTTCTCTTCTGCTCCTTCTGACTTCACTGGGCTGCCTTGCCTCTTTCTGGGGAGTGTGAAATGAGTAAAGAAAGGCTAAAGGGCTCTTTTTTTTCTTTCAGTATCAGCGGTTTTGGCTTCTTCCGAGTTTTCCTTATGGAAACGCTGACCTGCAGCTTGTTCTCATGTTTGCAGTCTTTCCTTCATTTAGCTTGTGCTTCCAAGGATACGCCTTCAGCCCCTTTGTGCTGAGGCCACTTCCGGAAGCCTCCGGGGCAAGGCCTCCTCCGAGAAACTTCAGGAGGGCTGGCTTTCTCTCCCTCTCAGCCTCCATCTGGCCCTGGGAAACCCTTACACACCCTCCAGAATATCCTAGATTCTTTGGAAAACTGACTAAGCCGGTTCTTGTTTCTTCAGAGTTTTAATTCCTCATACTGTCTTGCTCAGTTCCTTTAGGAATTATTATATCCTGGGAGCAGGTACTCTCCAATGTATCACCCCAGGGATTAAAATCCAGAGGAGAGGATGTGTCTGCTGGTTGATCAAATGCTTGTTTTGTATGGGTAGGAAGTGAAAAACTTTTCTTGTAGAGCATGCTTTCCACATGTTGAGACACCTTTGAAGACAAAATAATTATAGTAATTAGTAAGTCTACTAATTATTTCAATAACCCAGCGTGCTCTGCGTAGCCACAGATGGCGTCTCTTCCCGATTCTGTATCCAGTGAGGTCACATTAAGAGTCCGTCAGCGATGGTGGAAGGATTCACACTACAGAAATTGATGCTACAACTCTGGGTTCACCTTGTTTTTGAAGAGAGCTGGGTGTTAAACATTTCCCAGCTCACCACTGCTTTGTGCCTCCCCAACTCTACCTAGGAAGGTGTGCTACTTCCCCAGCCAACGTTTGCAGGTTCCCTCACTTCCATTGCGTCTCCACCCACAGAGAGGAAAAGCTAATAAAGAGATCAAATAGGTATTATGAACATAACAACAGGATAAAAGCACCATATTTCTGTTGAGTGTCATGCCATTAATACATATTTAGCTATGAAAAGTCACCATACCTGCAATTGGATCTTTAGTGCCGGCCCTAGCTTTAATCCCATGGTGCTTCGAAGATGCTCCTCGGTCAGTAAGGGCAAAGTTTCTCCATCAATTGCATGGTCTTTAAATACCTTAGAAAACATGAAAGATGTTGGCTTTGTCTCAATGTCTTTTTTTAAAAAGCTCCTTATGTTATATACAGATATTTTCATTTTGGATGAAATGTTAAGACTTCTGTGGTGTGACGCAAAATTTTATAAAGTTTCCTATTTCTATTACTCTCTCTTTTGTGCCCAGTAGTGCCTCGTTTGCGCTCTTTAATAATCCTGGAATACGTTATAATTCCCTGTTGATAGAACTCAGTTCCAGCCTGGAACAGCTAATATTGAAGGGCAGGCTCATGCCTTGTGTACCAACGTACCTGTCATGCAGTGACTGGAGCATAGTAGACAATGGGCAATAAATGTTGCTGGACAAATTAATGAATGAACAAATAGTCCGAATAAAGAGATGTGAGTAAAAACCATCGCAGACACATTTCATCTCTCACGTTTACATGTGCACTGCTCCCCGTCCATGGCCTCAGCTAAGCGGTAGCTGGAGGAGAGGAAATCACAGGTGGGAGCTGTCACGCTGGACCTTTCCAACGGGGCCTATTTGTCCTGACCATGTAATGGGTGTAACCATTCCTTTCTTTCTTCCAGTAACTAGGAAGGCTGCTGGTGGACCAAGGCTCCAGGCAGATAAAGAGATGGATAGAAAAAAAACTAAGCAGATTGGTGGTACCATAATTTCATGATTTCCAACTTCAACCTGCCTGCGTATTCTTTATTTACGGTTGAACTTTCTCTTGTCTTTCATGCTTCCTTCACAATCCTTGAACTTCAGTTGTTACAGAATCCTCCCTTATTTTTAACAGATTATACAACTTTCTAAATTAAAAAAAAGTAAATAAGAACTTCCTCTAATTCTGCCCAACAAACCTAAAACCTTCTAGTTTCTCCCTCTGCCCTGTTATGTGGAGGAGAGGTCCCCACCGCTGAAAGGCAGTCAGTCTCTCCATGGATGCAGTGGGTCCCCACCCTCCCGCCTCGGGGTCTCACTCAGTAAATAATCTCTTTTCTGGCCTTCAATCTCTCCTCCTTGGCTCTTCCCCATTGGCATTTAAGCAAGTCTCAACCATCGTAAAACAAGCAATAAGAATAATAAAAATGCACATGCTTCCTCACTCTGCCTGTAGACACCGCCCACGTCTCTCACGCCTCTAGAGCCCAGTTTCTCAAAAGAGTTGTGATGCTCTCTGTTTCCAAGTTCTTGCTCCCCAGTTCTTCCTCAGTCTCAAGGAGTCTGACCTCCACCCGCACCTGTCTGTCCATCAAACCTGCTCTCTTTTGGGCCCTAGTGAGTCTGCTGTTTCCTAACTCATGGATTTTTTTCAGTTCTCATATTTCTTATGCTAGTGGCTGCATTTGACATTGTTGACCACTCCTTCATGGAAAATGTCCTTCCCTTGCCTTCATGAGGCTTCTCCCTCCTGGGTGCCCTCTGCCCTCTCCTTTGCAGTCACCTCTGTGGCTACTGTTCCTTTGTCCATCCTTATGTGTTAGAGTCCCTTAGGCATCTGATGCAGGTCGCCTTTGTTGTTACCGATTCATCTCGGTCTCCCTCTGGGTGTCAGTGAGTTTCTCTCTACACCACAGGCTCTCTAATGTGTCTCTAACTTGGAAGCATGTTTATCTGCTAGCCCCACTGTTCCCACCCTGAATCAAATTCCACTGTTGCTCATCTGAGGAGGCTTGGCCACCAGTCTGGACACCTGCAACCTATTTTCATAAAAGTAACCTGAGTGATCCTCCTGAAATATGAAGCTAATCATGCCACTTCCACATAAAACCTCGACCATCTCCAGGATAAAGTCACAGTCCATCGCTGGGTCTTCAAGGCTTCTCGTGACCCTTCTCCGACTTCAGTCTCCTATCTTGTCATTCTTACTACTCCCTGCTTGGCCCTGGCTCTCTCTGGGCTGCTAGAAATTTCTCTCAAAATCCCAACTATTTGCTACTCTGAATTCTCTCTGGCTCTTGGTCCTCGCCTGGAAATCCCTCCTTCCCCTCTCTCCTGCCTCACTGCCTTCCTTAGCTTGTACGCTCACCGTCAGGTCTCACTTTCAGTGCCTCTTCCTGGAGGGAGCCACGAGGCCCTCCTGCGTGTTCCTGCCAGGCACATACCGGCCCTCGCAGCAGGGTCCCATGGGTTTGGAATCCCTTTCTAGTGTCCCTCTTCTGGACTGCAAAGTCCCTGAGAAGAGGGGCCATGTTTGTCTTGTTCCCTCTGTGTGTCCCAGGCCGTGGAAGGCATCCTCAGGACCCGCTGAAAACGGGGATCTCCTTGGGAAGCTTCTGCACCAGGAACTTGCGTGCTAATATATTTTAGTTATTTACAAAATACATCTATTAAGTAATGATTTCTTTTCCAATTTAATTATACATAAAAATTAAACATTTGTAAACATAAAATTAACTATTTGGCCCACTACAAATTAATGTGGGCCAAAACAAAACAAAACAAAAAAATGGACAGTGTGGGTTAGTCTTATAGCCTTCTCTTGGGGAAATGTATGATCCTTTTAGGTGTTTTTGGAACATAAAGAATTACTTGAGAATCTCTTTTCTCACTTTTATGAACTCCTGGGGGCTACTGACTAGAAACCATATGGCCCAATATCCTTAATGTAGAGTAATTATAATGGAAAAAGCTAGGTTTGTGGTCATACACACATTTTTCAAGTACTCATTTCTTTAGCCCCCTCCTTGATGTAAGTTCTATTCGGCTGAAAAATAGTGTTAATGTCTTCTTTGCAGAATTATGGTATAGACTAAATTTAAAAGACAAAATTTAAAAATGACACGCTTAGTGCAGTGCCTTGTATATAGTCAACCCAACAAGAGTAGGCATTGTTATAACGATTTTTTTATACATACAGAGAGTGACATAGAAAAGGTTAGATGAGTTGTCCAAGAAGCACAGCTTGCCAGTTAGAGAACTTATAAAATAACATACAGTGTATCCTTCTGGTCCAGGATTTTTCCTACTTAACCCCGCAGCCGGCCAGAGAAAGGAGCGCCGACAAAAATAGCTCAGTACACTGCGGGTGGAAATGTTGCCTCACTTCTCTTTCCATGGTAGGAATTCCAGTGAGCAGTGGAGAGAAACGACAGGGGCCCATTTGCAGAGGGAGTCTGGCAGCCAGGGCCAGAAGTGCATGGGGGCTGAGTGTCCAGCCACAGTGGGTGACCCTGGACCTGAGGCAAAGACACAGAACATGCCACTGTCCCTGAGAAGATGTCCCAGTCTCCCTCTCATGCTTTTAGTAATTTCAGTTATGTTTAGAAAGCATATTTTATCTGCTGAATTCTTTGAGCTAGACATTTACTTAGACAAAATGCACTGCCAGTTCTCCTGGACGTCCTTGAACAGCTGAGCCAACATCCCTCTCTTTCTATCTATGTAAAAGGATTCATTTGCATAGGGACTTGGATTGTAGTTGTGGTTATTTTTTTTTCTGAATTTCTTTTTCTATCTACTGGAGGCAGGTGGAGGGAGGTTGCTGAGTGTGCACCTAAGGCAGAAGTGAGGAAGAAGAGGCTGTGCGACAGTGGGTATAACCTCGACTGGTCCCCGGGGCTGTCAGTCAAAGCCAAAGGCACGTCTTAGACAGTGGTACTTAGGAAGGTTGTACATATGCAGAGCTGCTTCAGAGTTTGTTGCACCCAGTCTGCACCCAGTTACATCAGGGGGATTTTCCTGTTTCTGTACAGATAGACCATCGTCACCCATTGTGGTGGGGTCCGCGCCCAGGAGAGCAGGAGTGTTCTTGGAATTTATCTCACCAGTGGTCGCTGAGAAGGAAGAGGCTTTAATGAGGAAATAAGAGCAGGACTTGATCCTAAATGTGTTTGAGAAACACCTAGAATTAATTACTTCTGCTTTTGGGTGCGATAGGGAGCGTTGCCATCCTGTTGGTGAGAGATAATGAGTCAGCCACACTTGGGTGTTTCTGTTTATGTGACTCTGTGTATCTCCAAGAGGACATTTGGGGCGAGAAAGCTCAAAATGCATGTAACATTATTTATTACAAGAGTGGTTATTATAAACTTCACTTTTATGACTGAATCACTGACTGATTAATAATAATGAGAGTTCAAACAGATCCATCAGAAGTCTGTGATCAAATGGACATTATACATGAGGTTAATGGCTGATATAATGGTGAAATTAGCAATTACTGAGAGTACTGACAAAGTGCCAGGCACCCTTTATTGCTTGCCACAATGCTTTGAGAGTATATTATGCTATCCCCATTTTACAGATGAAAAAACTGAGCCATAAAGAAGGAGACAACTTGTCTTAGATTACATGTCTAGAAAATGGAAAAGCTAGGATTTGAATTTCTACTTTCTGGTTTCATAAGTCATACTCTTAATTACCACTATACAACTTTTCCACAAGTCTCAAAAATGGAAGACAAAATAAAAAGAATTAACAGCATCACGTACAGAAAAATATTCTCTCACCAAGATCTGGAAAAGCATCATCTCTGATGTCAGTTAATTATGATGTTGTTAAATCATAATGTCCTTGTCTTGTTTTTTTTCCTTCAATATATAAACATATATTATAACAAATAAGGACAATGACACCTGACGCACTGTTTAGGCACACTGTTGCTTGAAACTGTGTTATTAAATCACTTGAAAAAGTAAACGATGTGCTTGAAAATGTAGCATTGACATAAACCACAAACTTGCCGGCCCATGCTTTTGTTACCAATTAGCCCATGTGGATGAAATTAGTCTTCATTTCAACTCTCCTGACATTACTGTAATTTTAAAGAACATAATGTTTATCTACTAGATTGAATTATATATGTGTATGTAGTTTTGTATATTGTCCTAGCATAATAAAGAATTTAGAAACAGTTGATTTCCAGCTTTTCGGACCTGTTGTCTTCTTGTTCTTTTTAAAATGTAGCATGTATTTCTGTTACCTACTGTGAGTAGCCAAAAACTTCTAGTACAGAAAAGTATGTGCCTCCTAAATGTTTGTTTATGGATGAATAGGGGAGGTAGGAGACATTTCCCATCCTTTTTGCATCTTTGGTCTCTGCATCTCCTAATCTGGGGCGAATTCCCCCCTCTCAGGAGTCTCGATGGAATAAAAACTAAAGCCAGATGAGGGACCCAACTCCACCGAACAGTCCTGTCCTAGAGCAGCCCTTGACATAAAAAAGGGGGAGATGATTAGGAATCCTCTCTGGGGGCACAATGGAAGTTTGATACAACTCATTATAAAGGAAATATATTTCAAAGTGTCTTAGTTTTATGACAATACTTAAACTTAGGTCACCTGCGCATAGTCTGAACACCCCGGAAGACCACTGATGAAGTCGTGCACATCACTCACGGTCCATTTCTGAATATCTTCATCCAGAGACGGGTTTTCCCCACTTGTAACCAGCACATGTGTTCCTTTAAAGTGGAAAGAAAATTATTTTGTGGTATAAAATTTCCAGGGGAAAGGGGGGTGCTAAAAGCAGAGTTTTGTGTATAGCTACATTAATTTCCTCATATTTTATTACCACAGAGCAATCCCTTTATATAGATCTGCATGGAGACTCCTTAAAAATATTAAGAGTTATTGAGAGATGTTTTCTAAAAAGCTTAGCTGCCTTCTTTCTTTAAAACGTCTTTAATGACCACATTAAGTAACCAAAGAAGTTCCAGAATTGCTTCTCCCAGATTTTAATAGAAGTGCCCCATGGATTTCATTCTGCAAATTAACACCACCATGTTCTTAGTTGTTACTGATTTATCATGCTCCCTGGGTGACCTGAGGATTTAGCTGCGTATCTACATCAAAATGGCAGATTAACACTTTGCAAGGGAAGCAGTTGGCCTGGCGGCTAGATTACGACCCCTTCCCCAAATCCTTGTGTTTTACAATATTTTTATCTAAAGAAGTTCTAGAAAACTATTCAGTGTTTTGGGGGGAGTGGTGAGTTTATACTTTTAGATCAGAAGTTATCATTAACGGTAACAGGCACTGAAAGTTAATGCTCTGTTAGTCTATTTTTTCTGCACTTAAATACAGATAGAATTCATACTTTTAAGCAAGAACCCCTCTACTTTGTGTTGAAGAAATTAACAGGACATTAAATTAAAATTTTAATTAAAAATTCTAGTAGGTTTCCCCATCCTTCCTCATACTTGCTTTCCTGACCTTTGCTATAAATTCTCCTACAGCACTATACAGAGATGAATATCACTGACATGGTTTCTTGGAACTAAAGTAATAAAATGACTTCAAGAGGAGGTCATTCTAAATAGAATAAAGAAGAGGAAGGATAAAAAGAAGCAAGATGGTTTCGGTTTGTTGTGTAATTACTTAAGGAGTTAACAACTGGTGGTTCATGAGAATCTGCATTGGTCGTCGGTGCCTGGATACCTGCCTGACAGAGATGGTTGAGGAAGTGGAGGGTAAACCCCATTCTTTTCATCACGGGCTGCAGAACACTGCTCTGAGACCTTCTGTCTCCCACGGTCCCAGGCCTTAGCTTCCATCCGAGTATCATGGGTTCCCCAGGGTTTTCTATGCGTGGGCTCCATCTCTCCACAATCATTGGCAAGAACTGCAGGTGGCTTTTTGTTGATTTCTCTTGACTTCTGATTGTTTCGAGCTTCAATTTCTGGGCCTTTTGCATACTCATCCTCTATATAGGGAATTACATGAATCTCGCCTAGGGATTTTTCTTCTGTTTGACTTTTGGAACTTTCAGTATCACTTTCTAGAACTTTCTGATTCCCTGCACCTCTCCTGAGATGAGGACATTTCTGCCCCCAGCCCTCTAGAAAGTGTGGACCAGTGGCCACAAGCATGGGGTTCCCATGAAGGTTTCTCAGGGAGCGTCTGTGTAAATGCAGGTCACTGGCAGGGAGCATGGCCCGGCGGTGGCAGGTGGCTGGGCCAGCTGAGATACTGGAGCCATAGAGGAATGGAATTGCTAGACCTGCTAATCCCTTGGGATTCACTTTTTCTATTCTTCTTTGCTGGTAGATGGCATGCATTTCCATTTCCATCCTAAAAACAAAACAGTGTATTTTACACAATCCAAGAAAACCATTACACATATAATTCTTTGGTGATGGAAGGAGACTTGACTTTGCGTGGTGAACAGATACAACATACATATGATGTATTATAGAATTGCACACTTGAAATCTATATAATTTTATTAACATGTGTCACCCAAGTAAGTTCAATAAAAATTTAAAAAATGAAATATAATTTTGATAGGCTTCTGCCTTCCTTCAGACAGCATCTCTGTTTTTCCTGTGAGTCTTCACACTGCTTATCTGAAGTTTGTTGGTTGAAAACACAAATCTCCTGTTAAGCCACTGGAAAGGAAAGTTTGGGCTAAGATCTGAGGGTAAAGGGCTTGGCTAACTGTCACAATAGAAGCCCAAGGTCAGTCTGTAGAGATTTACCTCTAATAGATATGACACATTCAACAGATTTGCCTGTTAAATTTATATAAATTTTGAATATAAATCAATAAGGCAGCACAGGGTAGTTTCTTGCCAGAGATGAATCCTCAAAGAAACTGGAGTTCTCGAAGAGGTTTTTCAACCTTGTCATACAATTTTAGTGGGACTCAAGAAATGCAGAAAGTCAATGCAAATCTCAACTGTTACAAGTTACTTCAAGGGGCAAGGGCTGCGGGGAGGGGAAGAGGGCTTGGTGTTTTTGCTCACTTTAGTTTGCTTATTGGTCAACACCTGGACTTCTTAGGTTACCTTCTTATCCCCGCGGGTCATACTCTAGTCATACCCTTCTCTTTCTCTTGGTAGCTACAGCTCGGCCCCTACCTCTGGGTAGAATTGAAGCCATTGAAGACAAAAATGCCAGTATGAATTTCAGAGGAACTGCAGCAGGGCATTGGAATCATGAGACTTTGAAAAACTATTAGGGTCTATAAACTTAGCTTCACTATGTAATTTTCTAATCTTGCTTTTATATATATATATATATATATATACACATATTTTGTAATATTCTTGAAGTTTTTTTGTAAGTAATCATAACTAGTCAGTTCATGTGTGTATATATCTATATAAAGAGATGTATACATAGACATATACATATACATTCATTCAGAGTGTATATGTGTATACAAATCTAACAACATACACAAATACAATATACAACTATAATAAAAAATGAATGTATATATAGCTGCATCTATTTACTCATCTATCTCAAACAGATGCATAAACAAACACGTGAATGAATAGAAAATAAATAAAGCAACACTGCTACATTACCTGGCAGTATGCTGCCTTTGAATCATTTCATTCCTTCTGGCCACTGCCTTTAAGGATTCAGGTGGTAAAATGCCCCAACCTTAAGAAAGAAAATCACCATCCATCCCACAAACAAATGAACAACATCCATTTGAAAATCATGAAAAAGTTGAAGATTAAAACAGTACTTGCAAATAACAGTTGAGCACAGTGTTGGGAGCAGTGTTGGTTCATTGCTATTCCGCATCTTAGAGTCGTGTTGCTGAGGGCAGGATGACACTGGTCATTTTTTTTCTCTAAGGATGGGTCTCATGACTGGTGATATTTCCTGCCATCTCTCATAAAGAAAATGATGAAATAAACTGTGGCTCTCCTCATCTCTTGCTTTTGAAGTAAAAACTGATAGCTTTTTTTTCCTCTTTGGTACAAGAGGATTTAGTTGACCTTCAAAAAAAAATGTAAGTGCTTCCTAATGCACTGAAATCCCTAGAAATAAATGCATGATTTAAGTGGATAAAAGATGTAGTTCTCTGTGAACATTTTGGTGTATCCAAGGAAATCATGTTTTCAGAAACAACTTCAACAGAGTTGGGTAGCAATCATGTTCTTTACTTGTGTCAACCTTCTAAAATGCCTTGAAATAATGGGAGCATAACCAGAATTCAAGGCCTGCTCTTGCCTAGTAACTTCATGCTATGCTGACTTTTTTCTTCATGTGTACTGTCAATGTGCCTAAAGTCTATACTGGTGTTTATCAAACCATCTGTGGTGAGAACATTTTTTTTCTTTTTGAATTTTCAACTCATCATGGACCATCACTTAAAAAAATACAATAAAGTGATTTTTTAGAAAAATAAAATGAAAACGAGAACAAATGCAAGCGAAATTTTTTAAAGTGTGACATTAATAGACATAAAATTACCCTATCAAACTTATGAAAGTTTCTAAGCCCTTACTCTCTCCATTTATACATTTATTTGTACAAACTGTTCACAGAGCAGTACAGGCCCACAGAGTACACGCTAATAGTAATAGACATGCAAATTGTGCTTATTAAAAATATAGTTTTGTTCAACTATATTTTTACTTGTTTAGTCTGTTCTCCCCAAGAGGAAGGTAAGTATCATGAAAACTAGAGCTTTTTCTTGTACTTGCTGAGCTCATTAAACTATTAATAATAATAATCTATCTTGAAATAAACCACACTATATGTTTTTTGAGATTTGTTATTTTTAAAAGCAGGAGTTAGATGAGGTGACCTCTAAAAATCCTTTTAACTCTAAAGCTGTATATTTTTATAGTTCAGTGGCTTCAAGATTCACCTTTAACTGGCTGACATGCATGAAAGTGCCAGCTCATGGTGTACTACCCACAGATGCAGACAAAGTCCATGTGAGAATTCCAGAGTGGAGAACACAATTCTAATCACTGAGATTTTAGGACCTTTCGAAATCCAGACTCACCAAACCCGTTCCAGGTATTTTTCTCTTTCCCAAATAAGTGACCTCAAACTTGGTATTAGTTTAACTGTAACAAGTCACTTCCTACCTAACATCTCATTTTTTGAAATAGACCATTGTCTTAATTTCTATTTTGCTTACTTACTTAGAAACTCAGTTTCTATAGGACTGAGGTCTTGCCTTGCCATTGCTTACTTACTTGCGTATCAGCCTTGAGGTGAGAGACCTGACCTATGTTCCTGGGACCGATGGTGAACCTGCCTGTTTGTATCCAAATAATTGGCAGTTTCTGAATTCTCCATCTCTTTGAGGGACACTCTGAGTCAGTGGTCTATTCATCTGTTGTCTGTTATCATGACAATAGATTTACTGGGTTCCTGCTGCCGGATGGGACCTCCATCCAGAAGCAGCTGGCTTATTTTGTTCTTGGGCCACTCCAGGGTGGGTTTTTAGTTTCATAGCTGCCCGATCTCATTGCAGAGGATCCATGCACCGTGGTAGCTGAAATCCAGGCAGGCCATTGTCTTCACTGGCCCTGGTACCAACCATATTTCTTTTTGGGTCAGGCTTTTCACTCACACTGTTCCTACCTATTAAGACTTGTTGGAGCTGGGAAGCAGGGACAAACAGAAACTCATGAATATAGTTTTGGGGAGATAAGTTACATCAGTTTGATCTTCAATGTAGCAAGAAAATTCTTGCCTCCTAGTCTCTCTGGAGGCCCCACCAGTCATGTTTTCACTGTCATCACTCTACTGAAATGGCTCTTATCAAGATTGCCCATGACGCCCACATAGCTAAATCTAATCACGTATCTTTAGTTCTTATCTGCTCGATCTATGGGTGGCATATTTGACACAGTTGCTCAATCTCTCCTTAAATAGTTTCTTCCCTTGCCTTCTAGGCCTCCACATTCTCCTGGATTTTTTCTGGGTTCCCCAATTGCTCCTTTTCTCTCTCCCTTGTTTGTTCCTCTGCATCTCTCAATGCTGTTGATATGTCCCAGAGCTCACTCTTTTGACTTTTATCCACACTCACTATGTAGATGACCTCATCTACTGTCATTTATGCTGATAACTTCCAAAATTATATTGCCAGTATCTCCAGAAGTCCTTCCTGGACATCAGCTACTTTCCTGATGTCTCTCACTGATCGTCTGTTATGTATCTCAATTGTAATACAAGCAAAACCGAGCCTATAGTATCTCTCCTTCCTCAAGAACTCTGTTCCTATCCCAATATTCTTCAGCTCTGTAAATACCCATTTCACTTTTTTGATTGCTCAGGCCAAAAGTTTTATGTCATCCTTAACACTCTTTTTCTCACATCTCTTATCTAAACTATGAGACAACCCTGTTGTTTCTACCTTCAAAATAATTACAGAATGCAATAATTTCTTACTATTTCTACTGTCACCACCCACGGCCAAGCCATCATAATTTTTTTGATTATTCTAACAACCCATTTACTACCATCAGTTTATCCCCAGAACTTGGTTGTATCAAGACTGTTCCCAGAACAGAAGCCAGAGTGGTCCTGGTAAAAAGTAAGTCCGACCATGTCATCACTTGTTCAGACTCATCAAAAGCTTTCCATTCTTACTCAGAATAAAAGGCAAGTCCCCAGTAAGACCTAACAGGCCACATGCAAACTTCCCTAAACCCCTTTAACTTTCAGATCTCATCTCATGACTTCATCAGTTCCTTACATAGAAGATAAGACAGATAGTAATGCTGCATATTTTCATGTTATTCATCAGTAAATTGATGGTTGGGGAAGTGAAGCAACTTACAGTTGGTCACACAGTGGTAATTTAAACCTAAGTACTATCTGCAGAAACTACAAGCGCAAAAGCTACATGCTGCAGCCATCCAGTTCACAGTAGCTCTGCAGAGGAGGGCCATTGACTGCTCATACCTGAATAGACACGATTGGACATCATGTTCGGCATGTTTGCATTTGGTAGAACAGAGGATCCAAATTGGGATGGAACACAAAACTGTCGTGGGTCAGTTGGAGCTACAGTGGAAGGCAATAAGTCTCTAGGGAGAAAGATATCAAATAGATAAAATGAAGATGGAATTGTAGAAAATTTCCATTGCATAGGAAGTGAGTTTCTTTAATTGCCATACAGGATTCTATCATCTCTTCCCAAAATTAAATGTGAAAGTCCTGCACTCTCTATTGGTTTAAGTAGAAATATGGGGAGAAAGAGTGGCAGGAAGAACTCTAGTAAGGAAGAATTGACCCAACTGACAACAACAAAGAAATCAGGAAAGGAAAGTTTTAGGGATGTCTGAAAGAAAAATCTGATTTTCCATGACCAACATAATATTCCTTTAAAAAAAAGGTTCACTGATCTCTGAATGCTTTATTGGCCTCCTGCCCCTGCCCCACAAGGGTGCCCCATTTCTGCTGCATTAATGCCTCAGAACTTTGGTGTCATTGACCTGGAACACCACTTTGCCATCCACAATCCTGTGGTTGGTCATCTTTTGGATGGATTGCAGGGAGTTGCTGTTGTCCAAGGTGTCACTAAGGTCAAAGTCCTCCCCTTCTTCCAGCAGGTGGCAATGGACAATGAGCCTCCAGCTTTACCTTTATGTTCAACAGGGCCTCATACTCCTGGGGCTGCTGCTGCCCCTCTGCCTGCGGCTGAGCCAGCTCTGAGTCCAGGTGCAGCAGAATCCTGTTGAGCTGTTCCATCTGCATGGCATAGCGTGTCTCCACCTCCTCAAGGCTGTTCTCTAAGCTGGCCTTCAGATTTCTCATGGAGTGCAGGTTGATTTCCAAGGGCTGGATGACACGTCTTAGCTCCATGAGTGCTGTTTCAGCAGTTTCTATCTCAGTGATCTGTAAGGTGACTCTTGTGGTGCTCTCCTCAATTTGCTGAGACCAGTACTTGTCTAGCTCCTCTCAGTTCTTCTGAGCCAGCTTGTCAGATTGTATCCCAATATCTGCCATTATCTTGATTAGGTTCTGAGATGGGGGGACACCTGACTCCACAGGCAACCTAGACTTGTAGACCATTTACTTCCTGTTAGTGGTTCTTCTTCCTAAGGAGCAGCTCCTCCCTCAGAGTCTCCATCTCTGTTTCCAGCTGCAGCTGAGTGATATTGATGTCATCAGTGACCTTTCAGAGCCCATTGATGTCACTCTCCACAGACTGACTGGTGCATGGCCAGCTCCATCCTATTCTTGACTCTGAAGTCTTCAGCAGAAAGGCCGGCATTGTCAACCTGCAGAATGATGCAGACATTGTCCACAGAAGTTGCAAAAATCTGGGTTCTCTTGTCCTCAATGATCTTGAAGTAATGCTTCCAGTCTCTGACATGGGGTTTCTTCTTCTCCAGATGTTCCCAGATTTTACTTTTTGGTCTCCAACTATCAGCCTCCAGGCTTCTTATCTTCTCCAGGCAGGAGGCTAGGTGGTCATTCAGGCATTCATAGTCTCCTTCTCTTTCTGGATGCCCCATATGCCCACCAGGTCCCCACACCCCCTGCTACCTCACACATCCATGGAGTGGAACACAGAGCTCTAGGAACCCGAGTCCCAGCAGCTACACAGACACTGGCCATGCCGCTGGCTGGTTGGGCTGGTGGATGGGCGACTGCACGGAGCTCAGGGGTCCAGTAGTTGGTGAAGCCAAGTCTCAGGTTTGAGCCACGCCAACATACTGGGCTGAGCCCAACATTATAGTCCAATTTAATGGAGGTATTTGGCTTTGGTTTTGTCATCTCATTGACCTCCAGGGTAGATGGTTTATTTATTTTGCCAAACTTCAGTGGTTCTCTAGAAGTCAAATTTATTGTTCACACTCCTTGAACAAAAATAAATAATAGATTTTTACTTTCTTCTCAGAATGCCAAAATATTCTAAAGAAGATAAGCTAGGAAACTGCCAGAGTGCAAAATGTAAATACTGCTGATGTCACTTTTACTAAAAAGAAAGAATTATTCTATTATAGGAAGTGCAGGGTACCCAATTATTATGAACTAAATTGAGTTCCCTCAATTCTATATGCGGAAGTCCTAACCCACAATGTGATTGTTCTTAGAGATAAGACCTTTAAGGGGCAATTAAAGTTCAACGAAGACAAAAGGTTGGAGCTTTAATCAAACAGGACTGGTATCCTTATAAGAAGAGAAAGAGATACCAGGTGTGCACAAGTAGAGAGCAAAAGGCCTTGTGAGGACACAGCAAGAAGAGCTGTCTGCAAGCCAAGGAGAAGGTCTCACCACAAACCAGCTCTGCTGGCACTTTGATCTAGAACTTTGAGCCTCTAGAACTGTGAGAAGTAAATTTCTGCTGTTAAGTCACCCAGTGTATGGCATTTTGCTATGGAAGCTCTCACAGACTCCACCAGTGTTTACATCTGCACAATGCCCGTCACATAGTGAAAGTGCTCCTTAGCTCTTCGCAGAGTATGTCAAGCCAGCTTCAGAGGGAAATGGTGGGAAGTGCATTGAAGGTACAGCCAGCAGAGTGTCTCGACATGAATTACTGCACCAGAGTTCACTTATGTTAATGAAATTACATTAGACCATAAAACAACTCTGGGGTTAAAATCATTCAAAACCTTAATGACTGTTTATGTTCTCCTTTGAGTGTAATATTATGTGGGAAAGAGATACCTGTCCACAGTCGGAGGTTCAAATGGTGAGGGAGCCAGTGGGATCCTTTGCTGCCCTGATGCTGTCAGTAAAGGGTTCGTGGCCATCGTTGAATTTATCATCAGAACCTCTCGCCACTGGTGGAATTCTACAAAGAACCAGAAAAGTATATTAACAAACAACTCTCCTTTTTGAGAACTACTTGAGTTTTCCTTAAACACAGTGAACACCATTTGTATTTTCCCCGACACTTGGAAAGACTGGCTGCACCACACTTGCAGTTAAACAAAAAGCCCTCAGTGGTAAGCACCCAGACACAACAGTAGAACTCAGTGTTTTATCCATGTGCCCTTGAAATTTGTTGTGGAGTCCATAGGTATAAGCAATACTATAAGCAATCACGCTATAAGCAATAATAGAATTAAACCAGCCCTGCAAGATTCCAGAAATACCAATTCCCTTTCTTACAACTTACTTTGATTTGTATGTTTCCAGAGGTAAAAATGCATGTATTCTCCTTTATGTTTAATCATTGGAAAATATTCCTATGTAGTTGATAAGATTAAAACAAAAAAGAAGGGGAAATCTTCTTAATAGCTACAAATATATCTAATTAGAAGGGATATCGGCTGAAAGCATGAGACTGTATTTAATGAGAACAAATGACCAACTTAAATTCAAGCATGCATAAACACAAGGATTCATAACTTTATCTTCAGGTCAGAAAAAGAGACACTTGTCAAGGGGATAATATTTTGCCTTACATTTGTGTTCATTATTAATGTCCTTTGAATAATTTTAAATATTAAATAAGTACTAGTCAAGCAGATCATTTTACCTTCTTCTTCATCCTTAGTTTTCAATCAAAACAAACAAGCAAACAAAAAACAATATTCCTGCAACTATATTTGAAAAAAAGGAAATTATGAAGAAAAATTCTGCTTTTCAAAGTCATGATCTTTCAGTCTTTCTTCCTTTCTTTGTGATTTAAATAGTAAATGGTCAATACATTCATATGCTTTAATAACTAAAAATATAGTAATATTTAAGTAAGCAATCACCTCTTTACCTTTTTATTGGAGTTAAGTTTGACCTACTGATCAAATTGGAAATTCAAGTCCATGGGTCATTTAACATTTGCTTTTGCTGTATATATGTATCTGTCACATCGTAAAAGTGCTGATTTATTTTCACTGTAATCTCTGTTGGGATTAGAATAAAAGTATCTGCTAGGTGCCTGCCAGTCATGGGGGGAACGCCAACACAGAGTGCAGGCTGGGGCTACGGCAGCCTCGCCAGGCTTGCGGTTCTGGCCAGGACACTGCCCTGTGGCTTGACATTGCAGGTCCTCCGCGTGAGATTTGGAGCACAGCCACCACAACAGTACGACATGGGACAAAACTGGTGTTTCATTTTGAAATATTATGAACATTGATTTCTATCACAGATTGACTATCTTTTGCAGAATTTGAATTTATCAATGAATGAGATAGAATCTTTGAAAGTATAACATATAGTGCTCCTCTTGCATTTTATGTGATGCCTGAGATGAACCAGGAGGAGGGAGAAGGAAGAAAGGGAGCGGTGGAGAATTCCTATAGTGCAAGAATTGCCTAGATGTTGACACCTATCTTCCTCTCACATACCAACTCAGGAAATGCCGTGGAAATCGGTCACCAAAAGTAGGGGAGACTGTCTTATCTGGGATTCCCCTTAAGCAGGCCTTGAGACAGAAGCTTGAGTGCAGGAGGTTTATTGGGAGGTGACCCTAAGAAGCCCGCATAATGAGAGAGTGGGGAAGTGAAATCAGGAAAGGAAGAGCCAATAAGGGTTGAGGTATGTGTGAGTCACCACTGTGGGCAACTGCTACTCAGCCCTGCTGGGGACTGTCTAAGAAACCTTGTGGTACACACCAGAGAAATGTTCTAGTGAAAGACAAAGAGTTGGCTTTTTGCCCATCAGTTTTTGTTGGCATACTTCTCCCTCACATCTGGGTCATGCCTGGGCCTAGTCCAACAAACTGAAGTTGAGCAATGCAGGTGCTTGAGATGGAAAATGACCTCCACAGTTGCAGATGAACTCAGAAGTGGGCCAAGAGCATACGGGATCAGGCAGCAATGTGTCTAGCGCAGTTGAGGCAAATCAGTTACCTTCTAATGTCATTCCACTGGATAATCGGTACAGATGCCTTTCTTCTGGGCTGCCAGGTTCACCAGCCACGGGTGTGTCCCTACGAGGCTCTTTAGGGTCCATTGTCTGCAACCACACAGAGGGTTTTTCCCACTGTCAGTCACGTGTTCAGTGAATTAAATGGGGGACACAGATTATCAGGCTAATGAAGGTGAAGAAATGAGTCATCAGAGACAGGTCTCATCTACTTTAAAACCCCACTTAGTACCATATCTGTTCTGGATTCTATGGTTCTTGGGTCTGGCTTTCTTTTTGCAATTCCAAGGGAGTTCAACGTAATCTATAAAATTCTGTTATACTTTTGGTATAGTAGTTTATTATTTTCTAATCAATCCACCAAGGTTTTACTTAAAGTGTAAATTATTCCCAATCTCTAAGGAAATATCCTGATGTCTTGGAAGTCTCTGGGGAGAGCAATGAGTCATTGACACCTACCACACCTATGTGTTATGATTCTGGCCTTCACCCAACTTTCTTTGGTGAGCAAGTGCTTCTTTACTTATCACTACCATATCTATTGCTGCCCAAATTCTCTTTAAAAATCATTGTCTTGTGTTGTAGACTGAATGTCTATGTTTCCCTCTCTCCCATATTTCTATGTTGTAACCTAATCCCCAGTTTGACAGTGTTTGGAGGTGGAGTATTTTGGAGGTGATGGAGTGAGCCCTCATGAATGGGTTACCGCCTTTAGAAATGAGACAACAGCAATCTCCCTCACCCTTCTGCCACATGAGGACTCAGCAAAAACATGCCCGTCTGTGAACCAGGAAGAAGGTCCTCACAGACGCTGAATCTACAGGCATTTGCATCTTGGACTTCCTGCCTCCTGGGAATTTCCGTGATTATAAGCCACTCAAACTATAGTTTTCTGTTATAGCAGCCTGAACGAACTGAGACACTTTTTTTTAATGTTATAATCTTTTGTTTGCCAAAATTACATACAAAGTAACTTCCCTGACCAGTGTGTTGGTTGGGCATCATCCCACAAAGCAAAGTGTTGCCAGTTCGACACCCCGTCAGGGCACATGCCTCTTGCACACATTCGCGGATGGCAACTGATGGATGTTTCTCATGTCCGTGTTTCTTTCTCTCTTACCTTCCCCTCTCTCTAAAAAACATAAATAAAATCTTCAAAAAATAACTTTATATTTGTATTTTCAGGTTCACAGCAAAATTGAATAGACAGCACAGAGAATTGTCATATCCGTCTCTCCCACCAATTTATAGTTTTCTCAAGAGCGGTACATTTGTTACAAGTGATGAACCTACATTGACACATCACTGTCACTCAAGGATTTGTTATAAGTGTCATACATTCTACAGGTTTTGACAAATGTATAATGGTAAGTATCCATACAGACCAGTTTGACTGCCCTGAACCAAATTATACCTTGAAGCAAAAATTATCAGGACACTGCCAAGAAATATTCTGAAATTGACCCAATCTTTCCCTTCATCAGCCAGATAGATACTTGGGGCTCCAAATCTCTGTTTCTGTATACATGCTATTTTGGAGATACTGAGTCATAGGATCAACCTATGAGTCTTCAAATACTTTTACATTTTCTGGGTATCCTCTTCATTAAAAAACACATGCAGACACATTATGAAGCAAGGTCACTTTGTCATGGCAGATGAAGTGCTTTTGAGCCGAAGTGCAGACTGGAATATCCATCTTACCCGGGAGGGAACCTGAGCGGCAGGACAGCGCTGGTGCTTAGGTTTGCATTCAGCTGGATTTCTCTGACCCAGAGCTCTAATCCTGGATGCTCAGCACTTTAGGAGGATGAGGACTCCTTAATCTTTGTCTTCAGACTCTTACCCTCAACAAACCCCTTCAGACAGCACACAGGAGACTTAACTAGTGCTAATTCTGTCTCAACTGATTAGGGCAGTAATAGTAAGACATGAACTTCATGAACTAAAGCCCTTGCCAAATCAGCAGATTTTTACTGAATGCTTGCCTGATACACAGTAGCAGGAAGCAAAAACTGGTCCACAGCAGCTAGAAGCAAATTTGATACTATTTCAGTTTCTCATTGACTATACTATGACCATTCAATAACGCTGGTGCAATTTGAGTTTGGCTAACCCTGATTTTGAGCAATTATTTAGACAATATTTGTTGCATGCATGATACATGAATTCAAGGGTATATTGATTTTCAACAAATTAATTTTTAAATAACTGCTGTATTTGTCAAGTGTTTACATTTAAAAGGAAGATCAGTAGGATTAAGTGTTTCTAAAATTCTGAGAAAAATAAATATAAATTCTTAAATTAAAATGAGAAGGAGATATCTTTAGAGGTCTTTTGTTTAAGGTATAAAACAATCCTTAGGATCTTCACATAGTCACTATTCTAAGTGTCCCATATTCATGTGAGTCCTGAAAACCATATTAATGCTAAAGCATAGTTCACACTTCTTGACGTATATTTTAGTTTTTAAAAGTTATAAATGGAAAATCATTTTTAAAATTAGGAAGGCAAAAAGAGCTGCTTCAAAGCATTTCATTGCCAAATACTTCTAACAGAAAAATTTGCTGCGAGATGAGAAATCATGCTAATTTCTCATACCTATACTTAGAAGTGTGATAAAATCTATTTTTACCTCCAATACAAAACATTTAAAAAATAATTGCATAAAATATTGTATAAAATACAAGTTATTATATTCAGAATACATTTGTGAATTGAAATAAAGTTTAAGATAAGACTAGACAAATAAATTGGCATAAAATACTTGATTGTTCTAATTGTAGAATCCCATATTTCTTGAGAAGTTTACAAGGAATTCTAAAATTATCCAAGTACTCATTTCAAGTGGAAGAAATATTGCGAAATATCTCCAACTAAAATGTGCATCTTGGTAATTTATAACAGGACAAATGACATCGTTCCTTAAGATCTGAGTGACTAATGTCACCTTCAGTCCCCACCCCATATCTTCCATGAGGCTTCTGCCCAGTCCTGGGGATTTCGTCCTCGTGGGCACATTGTCTATGAGTTTTTGCTCTTGCGGGGCTCCCAGTCTATCCCATGACTGCTGACTCAGAATGTAGTGCATTTCTGTCAATACCCACATGAAGCTATTCACAGTGTGTAGTGTGTAGCTGACTTTACTGAGGTCTTGGCCGATTGGAGGGGGATGCAGGTCAAAAACAACTTAAAATTGAAGGTGACTTCTCCATTGTGAAACATTCCTTCAGGCAATTTTGACAAATCAGGCTCTGTTTTTTTTTTTGCTCATTTTCTTGACCTTTTTTCAGCTGGTACCCGAACAACTCCAAACTAATTCCTCACACTTTGTTTTGCAGAAATATCTCTAATCCATCTGCCAGACTCTGCTCTGAGTCTCTCCTCAATAGGCCTTCCACTCTGGGTCACTGTGCACTCCCTCACTACCCCATCATTGTGAAGGATAGGAAGTGTAGAGAGTTCTTTCCTACCGGTTCGAATGACACCACTAGCATCCTACTTTTACAAGGTGGCTAAACTTAATTTTGGCTTTAATAATAATAAGCACTTTTTTGTAATTCTAAAACAGTATAAACAAAAGTAAGTTATCACTGTAGTAGTGCCAACAAAGACAGTGAATATGGAAGCATTTGACAGTGGTCATAAAATATATTTCACTTTTACTAAAGGCACGTGCTTTAGTACTTTTTAAAAACACATGACATCACTGTGAATATCTTGGAAAGTGATGCTGAAGACAAGTGGTGTGTGCTTGGTTCCCTTACCTCTTTTTCTTGTCTTTCCAGAAGCTCACTGTCATTGGATCTACCCACACCTTCTTGCAATGTCAAGTTCTAGGCACATTTGCATGTATTGTGACACAAAGACATAAACTTTTCACATCATTAAGCGAGTAGAAACGATACAATTTCTTTTCTACTTGAATGCAAAATAATTTATGTACTTCTAGAGCTTGCATAAATTCTGTTCACTTTCTTCAAAACATTGCAAAGTGAAACCTCTTGAATAGAAATTTGTACATAGACTAAGGTGAAATTCTAGCAGTACTCACATATTTGAACTGAACTTTAGGTGTTTTAGGTAGTTTTAGAAAATGAGTTAGCAAATAATAACATGAGTCTATGTTCGTGATTATGATTGTTTGTTCCTCAATGGTTTTTCCTGAAATTTTCGACTCTGACACTTTGTGGTCCATGCATCATGACAACTTTTGGAATAGTTATCTTCAGCAATGGGAGGCCATTAAAATAATCATGTATAGTAAAAGTATAGCAGTGAGAGAGAGGCAAGTACTTAATATATTCAAAGATGACAAAATACCTAAATTTATATACAACTTCAGGCTGACTCTATCTTTTAAAAACTTCCTTTTACTTTTACTTAAAGAATAACAGCCAAGGCAGTATTTATTTCTTTATTTGGTAGAAGCAGTATATTATCTTTATTCTTTAGTAACTTCACCCAAATAAGAACTTATTAGCTAACTTACTGCTAGTAATGGAGCTAATAACATTTACAGATAAATCTTTATACAAATGTATTTCTCCAAAGTGCACTGTGTTTTATTTTTATATTGTACCCACCCAGTGATTATGGAAGGAATGCAATTAATGATATTTATACAAGATTATTTCCTTAATTCTTCATTTTTTTCTTTAGACTCCTGTAGAAGTATATTCCTTTCAAGGCAAAATTGTCCTTTTACTTTACACGTGCAAACATTTTAGTAAAAGTGACTAGCCTCAGTCTGCACTAGTCAATGTGTAGATTTGTATACTTACATCCTCCGTGAAGACCTCTTGGTTTTGACATTGCTCTTGGAAAAACCATCCAAAGACTTTCTGTCTTTAAATTGCAGAAGCTTCTCTGACTACGGGTTGAAAACGCATCTGACAAATGTTGCAGACACTCTTAATTAATTCACCTTGCCTTAAATACTAACCCAACTAAGTTGATTAGTCCGGTTTCCCGACAGAAATGCCGCCCTCTGATACCCTCTACAGAGAGGCAGAAAGACGTTAAGCCCCAGGAAAGTGCAGACGGTGCACAGAAACCTGCCTGGGGGTTTAGCTTCAGCCTTAATCCTTCTTTAGTCTCTAAGATGCTTTGTAGGCATTCACATAATGCCACTCAGCGACACAAAGGGAAAATACTATATAAATAAGTAATTAGCTTTTCTTTGATGAAAAATAACATTTCACATTTCCAATGGGTTTTAGTGGAAAAGTTTCTCTTGCGAGTAGGAAAAAAACTAAGTGGTTTTCCATAGAGCTGCAAAGTTAAATAAACGATGGCAGACGATTTAAAAAAGGATCTTCTAGCATTGACATCTGCACTTCTCACAGACAGTGAGAAAACCCTTCAGAGTCTATGTGAGAAATACAATCTACAAAAAAAAAGAAACATAGAACATTGAAAATGTGACCTGTTTATTTACTAGAGAAATAAAGAATGTGTGGCTTTGAAAAATTAACAGTAATTTTTCTTATTCCTACTAATTTACTAATGGAAAGTACAAAGTTTAATAGGAAAACTTAGAGTGTTACAAATAATGCTTTCAGCTTCTAGTTTGGAGATAATTCGCTCCTTTGTTGACACATATTTTTGTCATCGGCTAGTGAGGTGATTATAAGAAATTCCAGAAAGAACTTATTCCAGAAAGCAATGGCCAGTAGCAGGGACTTCGAAGACTAAGAGACCCCATCAAGTCCCAGGCCCACCGTTTGTGATATATATAACCTGGCCAAATCACTGAACTTCTGAGCCACCTTTCCCTCATCTCAGAAGAGCCTCTGCGAGTCATTCTAAGATCTGAAGGCAACAATGCAGACAAATACTTGTAGAGTCCCCACTAAACGTTAGCTATTCTGTTAGACAACGACACTACGTGCAGCCCTCTGTCGAGGATCCATGGGAGAAATTTTTCTCAGCCTGCAGTACTAGGCACATTTGGCCATTTTTCCATGAAAATCAGACCAAAACAAAATCTAAGGAAATGTGTAACTAGTGAATTTTTTCTTTGCATTGGCCAGTAGTAAGCTGGACCTGCTTTTAGGCATGCATTTTGAAACTGTAAACCATCTATGGCTTCATCTTGCTTTTTTCTAGCAGTTGTTTCCCTTTGCTTTAATTTCTTTACTAAACTGTCTCTCTCATTGTATTATACATATATTTTGAAGTTTCTGCAAATAAATAATAAGTGCATAGAAATTTCATCACTCTGACAATTATCAAATTAGAAGAGCTTGTGTCTGAAAGGCTTATTTATATCATTCAAAGGTAACTTACAAATGTATTGCTTTTGTACAAGCAGCATCCTAATGAGTTCATTAGGTTCCTGGCCCACCCACATGACTCCATCTAATGGTGTAACAGCAGTCCTCACTTCACCGTGGACCTACCATTTGTGATTCTGTTCTGGAAACATGACCAAGTGCCAGTGGGGTTCGTGAATGCCACGGTTTCTCCCGATCCACTTTCAGTTGGTGCTTCTCTTACTCCTCTACACCGACCAGCTCTTGCTGTGAGGGTGGGGGTGGGGCTTGGGCTGTGGGGAGGACGGAGGAAAGAAAGGAAGGGAGGCTGGGAGCCCTGATGTGGGGGGAGTGAGTACAAGAAACAGTGGCTTCTGGAGAGTCTGGGCTCTGATGGGAAGAGGGAGAGCAGCAGACATAGAACCTTCTGGTGTCCAGTCAGCACCCACCAGTCTGGCTGTGCAGATCGCTAAAATGTTGAAATTCTCCCATAGTGGTTGGAAAGTACCACTGCCCTGAGCCTCCAAGTGCTCCCCCAAGCCAGCTGCTCCAGCGTCTCCCCTGAGGCACCGTTCCCGCCCCTGCTCAGTACAGCATCTGAAGGGATGGTTCCCAACACCACACAGGGCCTGCAGATTCCAGCCCCAACACCTCGGCCGAGATTGAATTGGATTAGTCTGTCCTGGGGATGACTGCTGCTGAATGAGAGAGAATTCAGGAGTGTTGTAAATTTGTACCTTACACTCGATACAAAGAAAAGCCTCTTTATTTTCCTACAGCCCATCTGGTCTCCTTCAAAGGTCCCATTCTCTGGATGAGAGGTGAGAAACTGTGTTTAGTTCAACCTGGTAAATTAAAAACCTATCCAATAATATAAAGAATCAGTGTTTCTCAAGTAACTTGGTCTATTCCAACATTACATAGGGAGACACCTCCGCAAAAACAGAATTATCTTCTGGAGCTTGGACCCCTTGCTGTACAGGCTTTCCTCACTAAGAGAGTGTTTAGGAACCCTTCTGTATCAGTGTGCCAGCTGGTGTTGTTGTGGGAGGATGCGTTTGGCTTCAGTGAAAACTTTTTCGAAGGCTCTTTTTGCTCATTTCATGATGGGCGACTTATGAGTGCACTTGCCCCCACCACGCTGAGTGTTCAGCATTTTTTGACTAAAACAGCATGATCTCAGAACCCCACCCTCTCTATTTACCCAATCATGCCCCAAGCGACCATTTTTTTTGTGTGTCCCCTAGATGAAAAAAGCCCCCAAAGGGAAACACTTTGCCAATGTGGAAGAGGTGAAACAAAAAATGGCAGAAGCACTAAAAGGCATCAAAATTGATGAGTTAAAAGACTGTTTTGAGCAGTGAAAAAAGTCTCAATAGGTGTATTACATCAAATGGAGAGTACTTTGTAGGAGAATGAAGTTTAAACACGTAAGAAAAATACACAATTTTTAATAAATAAATTCTGGGTTTTTTGGGCCCCTTCTCATAAATGATCTCCTCTGGAATCCCCCCCCCCCCCACCATCTCCTTTTCTTCCTTGACAAGGCACATGAGTTGTGGACAGCTTGCGGGGACCTCGTGGTGGAGGAGTGGGGGAGGGAACATCAGAGAGTGTTAAGGGACCATGTTCTGCTGTTCTGCTCTCCTGGTGCTGCCTTGGGTTCGGGACTCTGTTTGCTTCCCATTCCAACATCCTCACATGGTCTGTTTGCAGGAGGCCCTGCCCACTGCCTCAGCATCTGACACTGCCGAGTCCCTGTGGATTGGCTGTTCCTCCTCTGTAGCCTTTGACCACAGAGGATTTTTAGCCATGGCATTGATGACCCCCTCTAGCAAGCTCCCCAGACAGAGTCTCTACTACTCTTTTATCACCCTAGGGGATGCAAGCACTTCTAGGTCCTTCCTTTTATGCCACTCAGGTCACTCAGAGAAGCTAACTCAGGCTCTCTCCCACCTGGCCTCTTGGCCATCCTGGGTTGCTCCAGGACACCTAGCTGGGAAGTGCTCTTCTAGGAAACCACATGGGACGTGTAGAAAGTTCTTCAGTACTTAGCTTTCCTTCTGTTCATCTAATACCGCACCCTCCTCCTGGACTCTAGAATACCATGGTGCTCCTGGAATCAAAAGGTAAGCCACCTTCTTCCCGGCTTTCCAGGACTTTCCCGATTACAACTGGGAGCAGGCCTCTAGTCCCAGCCCCGGGTATGCTAACTAACAGGGATGACCTGGAATTAAGTTATCCATTCTCTCTGCACAGCCTAGTTTTAAGGACAGATGTCTCAACTAATTATATGAAAAAAGAAAGTGTGGAACCCAAAGCCAGTCTGCCCCAGCCTCTTCACTGTTGAGAGTTCTCAACCCCCTCCCTTCCCTGTGGCACTAAACCTCACGCCCCGCCCCGCCAACCATCTCAGGAAGTGGCTGCCGTCTTTGTGGCTTCACATCTTTGTATCATCTCTAGCTATTTAAATAACATATTTTGCTGTGTATAATGGCACTTTGTTGCCTAACTTTTTGAAGGAAAAATAAGGACGTGCATTATGCATGGGTAGTGCCTGAAACACCTTGTATCTGTTCTTGTGTTTTGTAATTATTTGTCACATGAAATTTCTTATACCATAATATGTTAAAAAATAAATGCTAAAATTTCTTTATAATACAAAAAAACCAAGTGTCTAAATATACATAAATAAAAGTTGAATTAAATAATTAAAATGAAAGATTCTTTTCCTGAATGCTGGGGCCAAAAACATGGGCATGTGTTATACACAGCAAAATACAATAATATGGAGTTAGTGTTCAAATTTTGTTTACTTCTAAAGTTCTTACTGACTTAACATCAGTGACTTTTCTGAGTGTGGTGAGGATACACTGAAAAATAAAAACTGTTTTTGAACCCGTTTGTATCATTGTTTTGATACAGACACACTTCTGATCGACCAAGCACTTGAAATTATTTTTTCTATAGTGTGGAGAGCTCTATTTCTGGAAATTAATTGTGTAAGTACATAAATGGGGTGTAATAGGATATATTGTAAGAACACATTTCCATGTAACAAGACTCCAAAGAAAGAATGGGAAACACTCATTCTTTATCTGTCTTCCCTTTTTTTTTTGCCCAGAATATAGATGGTGATAATTTCATGATCTAAGGAAACTGTAAAACATTGGGGTCTCTAGCTTAATGACATTGTGATTCATTTGTTAAAAATATGGTGATAGCATTAAATACATTCTTCTAAAATTGTTATATACCATTTTATAATACTTCTAACAATTAGCTAGCCTTGCACAAATTAAAATATTTACTTTGCATACATTCATATCTGTGAAGCATGTTACCGTATTGTTATAAAGACAATGCCATTGAATCAGTGAACTTTGGTTCACCTCTTGCTCACAAAGGGTGAGGGCAAAAGTAGGTTTGCAGTTGTGAGTATGGGAAACAGTTTATTCTTGTATTCCTATTTATTAATTACTATATTATTTTCCATACAAACTGTAAACCTACTTTTGCCCCACCCAGTATATATTGCACAAGTGGGCAACAATTTGAAAATAGTAAGATAAGAAAAACAATCAACAGAGGGTTTTGTTTCATTAGATACTAATTTTAATTGTCATTTTCCTTAATTTCATAAATTTAAAAAAGTCTCAGTTAATATTCCCCATTAAAATATAAGATCACTTATTTACTTGTTTTATCACTTA